CCAGATGTGGAGAGACGGCGCCTTTGTCCTGCGCTCCGCCCTGGGAGGGGAGCCCTGTCCTGGGATCCCACCGGAGCCGCCAGCCCCAGATGGGGATGCAAGGAGGGAGCGAGGGGCCTGCCCTGGGCTCTGGGCCCCATTTGCCTCTGGTTCTTATATCATCTCCTCCCACCTCACTCCTCCATTCCCATATCCCCGACACTCCAGGAGCTCCAAATCCTCTTCACCCTCTTTGTGAGATGCTGGGACCTTCCCATTCCAGCAGCTGTTGTGTATTTGCTCTGGTGCAATCCCATCAACTGCGCTGAGATTCCGCCATTCCCACCTTCCATGGGATCACTGGGGGCCAAACCACTCCCAAACTTGGCTGTGACGGGTCTGATCCTGCCAACAGCCCTCCACGCCTCTCCCAACCATTGATTCTGACCCACAGCAATCCCCCAACAGCAGGAGGGAAACATCAGACTGGGGAGGTCCATCGGGAGAGGGAAATTCGGGGCTGCCAGCATGTCCACGGATGGCAGTCTGAGGCTCTGGCAAGAAACGGTCCAAGCAGTGCCAGTCATTCCACAAAACACACCAGAAACATGGAAAAAGGGAAAAGCTCTGCCCACGGATGCAGGAGGAATAAACAGTTGGTCTGGATCCAGCAGAGCATCCTTTGAAATGGGCTTCAGCCCTCCTTTGGGCTTTGTTTCTATCCCTGGGTCCCATGTGGTCCTGCTGAGAGCGATTTACATGAAAAGCAACAGAGAGAAGGGGGAATGAGGGGGGGAATGCAGGAGACAGAGCTCCAGGGAAAGGCTGAAGGGAGGAGAAAGCTACTTAAATTGACCTTATGGGGCTAATTTTTGCAGCTGGTCACTGGCTCCTGCATGGGGTCTGTACTGGGAATAGAGAGTCAGACTCTTGGAGCTCCTTTAGGCACTGAAAGGGGCTCTAAGGTCTCCCTGGAGCCTTCTCTTCTCCAGGCTGAACACCCCCAGCTCTCCCAGCCTGTCTCCATAGCAGAGGTGCTCCAGCCCTCGGAGCATCTCTGTTGCCTCCTCTGGACTCGCTCCAGCACCTCCCCAGGATGGGCTGACCCCAGTCACACGGGGAGGCTCTGCACACACGGGTGCTGCCCAAACAAGCACCCGCCTCGGGGATTCCAGGGGAACAGCCCCATTCCTTGGGGATTCACTGCCTCGGCAGCACC